GTAGGCAGTGAAGGGCTTTGTCACTGCAGTGACAGGATAGACCTCAGTTGTCATTGTCACATGTGAGCTGTGCCAGCTATGGGACACCTGGCCATCTTCCACATCTTCACTTCTTTCTCAGCCAGTTAAGGACGTGGTGGGTGGGGCGTGGGAACTGCCTGACCTGTAAGGACCCACTTGGCCAAATGTGCACCTTATTCCCACATCTTCTTTCTAGCTCCCTTTGTCCCCCTATTTTTATTTTTATTTTTTATTTATTTATTTTTAAAGATTTTATTTATTTATTTGACAGAGAAAGACACAGTGAGAGAGGGACAAGTAGGGGGAGTGGGAGAAGAAGCAGGCTTCCCGCGAAGCAGGGAGCCCGATGCGGGGCTCGATCCCAGGACCCTGGGATCATGACCTGAGCCGAAGGCAGACGCTTAACGACTGAGCCACCCAGGCGCCCCTGTCCCCCTATTTTTAATCTAGAAAGCAGCTTTGAGCTTTACGGAAATCTGGGCAGCTGATTCGCGTTCTCTTTGTTTCCTTGTCCCCATCCTAACCCTGCCTTCATTCCCGAAAGGTCCTGGTGGGACCTATCTGCTAAACACAAGGCCATCTGGTCCCCGGGATTTTAATTATGTCCCTAAGGGGACAGCAGCCCCGCAGACACAGATGGATATCCCTCCCCTCCACATTCCTAAGGGGCAGACGGTAAGAACACTTTCTCTCGCATTTGAGGACTTAGTCCCTAGTGGAGAGGGGAGTTATTTAATTAAAACAGAGCAAAATTTTTCACGGCTATGTTTGGGAAATGTACCTATTGAAAGATTTTAAATACAGTCATGTGTGTTTGGGGTGATTTTATATGTAATATAATATGTGCTGTGAAATGTAATATATTTGTAATGTGTGTGCAGAGACAGAGCAAGAACAAAAATCAATTCATAAGATAAGACAAATAGGATTTGGTTCAGCAGGTAGAGTCTGCACACAAAATGCTTGGCGGAGCAGAGAGAGATTCTGTGCAGTTTGGACATTTCTGACAAAAGCCAGAAAGAGAAGGTGCTAAGGTGGGGTTTGCACCTTGAATCACTTGCATTGCTCAATTCATTACTATGAAGTCGTTAAGCAAAAAATCAGATCCATGTGCTCACAAATGGGAAAACTGTTTAAAATGCATGTTGCCGACCGCGGGGATGGCTCGCCCCAGTGAGCTCTTAGGCCGCAAAAGGCAAAGAAGCAAGAAATGGAGCCTTGTTCTAGGACGTGGTTTTCTATCTCCAGCCCCCATTCCAGCAGGTCGTGGAAAACTCAGTCCTGCCAACTCAAGGCAAGCCTGATCACTTCAGGTTTCTCTCAGAGAATTCCGGCCAGTCAGGGCATTTGTGTTCTCCCCTCCCCTGGCTCCCCAGACTTGGGTCTCTGGGGGCCTCCCTTGTGCCACGGCCAACAGTGCGGGTCCCCTCTACTCCCAGGCCCTCAGATTTGTTTTGAAGGGTCAGGCATCCCACCAACCAGAGCTGGTTCTCCTCCAAAATCCATGGTCACCACTTCCTCAGTAATGAAACCCCAATTTTATGTAAGGTCCACGTACCCCACCCCCGTTTCCTGTTCTCTCTAGATGTGTTGGCCGGCGAGACACAGGGCCATGCACCACTTCCAGGAAGTGTCCCTAAAGGAAGACCGTCCTCCTCCTTGTGCCCCGTCCCCTGTGATGTAGGTGCATGTGGTGGGGATGACGGTGACCACCGAGTTCCAGCAGCCACCTGGGGACAGAAGTTTTGTCCAGCACAGCAATGAGCCAACTTCTTGAATGTGAGAAAGAAATAAACTTTTATCTTGTCTAAGTCCCTGATATTTGGAAGGTTCTGGTAATTCACAGGCAAACTTAAGCCAGACTTGGCCGCCTTGGGGGCCAGTGTAGAGTAGGGGGGCCAGAGCCCAGAACAGGTTCTCAAAGGCCAGCACCTAGCTCTTCAGCTTTTCCCTCTGTGGTCTTCCTGGCCCAGAGCACTTTTGTCTCTTCCGTTGTTGGGTGGAAGATGCCTCTTCTCCTGTCCTGGGTCTCCGCCATCCCTAGCAGACAACTAGGTGCCAAGACCTGTGTCCTTTGCTTTCTGGCTTTACTGGAACAGCTCAGCTTGGGACAACAGCTGCTGTTCGTGCAGTGGCCAGACTTGGGGTACAGAAGGAGAGTGGGGGGAAATGCACATTCTTAGTGCTCCAGGACACAGCCTGCCCGATATTCCCGATATTCCTTGCGGCTCCAATGTTAAGAGGAAGGATGGAGAGCCGGCTATCAGTGGTGCCCCCGGTGGGAGGCTGGGTGGGGAACCAGCTGATTCTCCCTCTATAACATTCTGTCATATGGTGGGTTTTGAAGTGATTTTCTTTGTGTGTGTGTGTTTCTTGGTGTTTCTAAGTTTAAAAACTCAAGAGGTACAGTTTGAGAATTGTGGAGAACTCCCCTGGCACTAGCTAATCTGGTCCTTTCTAAATGCAAGGTCCAATTCCTTGCTTTATTAGCACAAGCCACTTACCATCTCTGAATTTAGCTTTCTCAATTTTGAAATGCAGGTAATAATATCAGCTTTAAAATGTTGTTGCCGTGGGGCGCTTTCGTGGTTCAGTGGGTTAAGTCTGACTCTTGGTTTCAGCTCAGGTTGTGATATCATAGATCTTGGGATAGAGCCCTGTGACAGGATCCTCACTCAGTGGGGAGTCTGCTTGAAATTCTCGCTCCTTTTCCTCTGCACCCCCAAATAAATCTTAAAAAAATAAAAGTAAAATAAATAAAATGTTGTTGCCATGACTGAATGAGCTCCTGTCTATGAATGTGTCTCATAAATACCTTTTGAAAGGTGTCTTTGTACGAAGCCTAACCCCGTATGTCTCTGATTGGCTCCAGCGACATCTCGGAACATCAGACATTCAACCTTGACCTTCACAGAGGAGGCAGAGGTGGAACGGACAATAGGACACGTTGCCCTTCACAACCAGGTGCAGGGAGTGAGTTGGTTGGATGGCTCAGTTTTTTCTCCAGCTGGAGATGATTGACCCCCACGTATGCTATAAATGCGGGGCCGTGTGACATGGAGCCTGGCATGAATGACGTCCCTGGGTGGTGCTCTGCAGCTTTCCACATCCCTCTCACAGCAATCTCAGAGCCCACCTGGAGGTGGGTGCCAGGAGGACACGGAGGCTTGGACAGTTAAAGAGCTTGCTTCAGTCCATAAAATCAGCAGATGGTGGAGGAGATGGGGGAACCACTTCCGGACCAGAGCAGAGTCCAGGCTCTTCCCATGACCTCACCGTGTCCTAGGCACAAGGCTGTCCCACAGCCACACCGTGTCTAGGCAAAGGCTGAAAGTGAGTGCTTCCTGCCCTGCCGTCTCACCCGCCCCTCTTGGGCACTGTCCAGGACCTCTGGTCCCCGCTTGCTTTTACACGATGAGTGGCCCCATCCCCACCACTTGCTGACTAATGTGGGGTTTCACTTCTTCCTTCTCGGTGGTTGGCAGGACAAAATCTCTAAAGGCCGGGTGCTAGGCACTGAAGGAAATGTTTGGGGGCAGGCCTGGGGAGATGATTTTGCAGACCCTCATGTCCCTCCGTCTGCCTATAAGCTTGGCTGCCCTGCTCCTCCACACCCACCAGCACGACCTGAATCACCTCACAGGGCGCTACTGGGAGTTTGTGTGTCGGGCGATTGGAAGCCTAGCCTGCCTGCAGCTGTCTGGGGGCTTTTCTGCGAGCCCGGGATGACTGGGGCACACAGCAGGTGCTCGGCACGTGTGGGCTGAACTAATAGGACCCCACAGCCTTGCCCCCGGAGCAGGGGCCCAGGGGCCTCGCTGCCAGGTCCTCCCAGGAGTTCCTCAGATTTCCTGACACCTGCGTCACACCTCCCCGGCTCTCCCAGTATTTAGACGTCAGCTGTCTCTGTGACTGACTTATCTCTGCCTTCACACTCCCTGACAGACCCCCCTCCACCCTCACTCCATCTGGATTGCCTGTGGCTCCTTTGTAGCCACACGGAGGGAGGCAAGGAGGGAAGGACAGCCCGTACCTCCCCGTGACACGACAGGCAACATTCTCATACACTTTCTGCAGCTGGGCGCCCCTTAAAACCTGGTCACAGGACTGAGCCTCCTCCCCCGGGAGAGCAGGTGAGCACACTGGCTGGAGGAGGCTGCCCCTCAGTCCACACACACACTCCGTTCGTTTAAAGCCTCCTCAGACGTTTCACTGAAGGATTCTAAGAAAGGTCAGAGAGGGCATTTTTAATACACATTTTAAAAAAACGATTTGAAGCCCGCAACTTACGTATTTGTTACCAGTGAAGAATGTAGATGTTGTGGTCAGAAAGATAAGATATCGGGCAAGGGCCTTGCTGTGGAGAAGCAGAAATGAAGCGCTGGTCCCCTCCATGTATCCAGTTGGGTTTTAAAATAGAATTCAGAAGACAAGGCCTTTCCTTGTTTTTGTTTTGTTTTGTTTTGTTTTGTTTTGTTTTGTTTGTTTTGTTTTGTGGTCAAGGACAAAGCTTCAGGTTTCCAAGTAACCAATGTCCATTCTCAAAGGAAGACCAAATACTGCTCAGGCCCGAATGCCATGGCCTCATGTCCCTGAGCCTGTCCCTGAGCTTAGCCCATCAGGCCAGAAGTGTTTGTAACACAGCACCTGTCTTTCAGCTGCCTCCCGTTCACATTAGAAACTTGGTTTCCCAATGCACTCTGAAGGCTGGCTATTACGTGGTCTTTGGATTATTTCACAGGTAAAGAAATTTTAAAATAAAAGTTTTGGTGTACTCTAGGAACGAAATCGCTTCTTCAACCAGAACTTGAACCAGTTACTACATTTCTCACAGTAAACTAAACTCTTTTTGATGTATTTACTACAGTATTTTGCAGTTGGCATAGGAGTTTACCTTCTAGAATCACCAACAAGAATGAAAACCAAGAGTGAAATTGAATATAATATTCCTGGAGCATAGGTGACAGAAACTGCTTCCTAAAAAGGTTACAGTACTTCTGGCCTTCAGAGGACGATGACACTTTCAACGTGATTCGGGTATGGTTTGCGGGAAGTGCCACCATGTTTGAAAACCAAGTGCCCTTCAAGAAGGCTACAATGTTAAAATATTTTTGCCAAGATAGATACTACAGATACAAAGACATTTTCTTTCAGAAAGTGAATAAAACAACACTTCCTCTAGGAAACCGGTGACAGAGGCCTCTTTTATAGCAATATTTAAATTCTATTGGATCTTCCAAATACTTTAGGTAATTAAGTAACTGGTAACCACCAACAGCTCTCACTAGGAAAGGTAAGCAGATAAAAGATAGCCAGGGCTTTAGGAGATTTTAAAGAAAGAAAATAAAGCACATTTAGTGTTCAGGCTACTGGTTTAGGGGCAGGCAAGTCTGAGGAAGAGCACAGAGAAATCAGGGTTTCTAAGCTTTTCTTCAGATGAAAACCCCATCTTCCTCTCTGCCACTCAGTCCCAGCGAAGCGTCTCCCTCAGGTGCCGGTGCGTTCTGATGTTTGGATCTGAAGGTAAATCATGTTTTCTTTGGGCTTTGCTATCCTGTAGCAGACAAAAATAAAAATGAAAGTTAAAACACAGTCAATGTTTTGATTAAGAAACTATTGCAGGGCACCTGGCTGGCTCAGTCGGTTAAGCATCTGACTCTTGGTTTCAGCTCAGGTCATGATCTCAGTGTCATGGGATCAAGCCCTGTGTTGCGCTCATGCTCAGCTGGGAGTCTGCTTAAGACTCTTTCTCCCTCTGTCCCTCCCTCCTGCTCACTCTCTCTGAAATAAATAAATCTTAAAAAAAAAAAAAAAAAAAAAGAAACTATTGCCAAGAAAGAAAGAAAGAAAAAAAGAAAAGAAGAGAGAAATTATTGCAAAGTTGTCTATGGGAATAAATCTCAAAACAAAAGGTGAAAACAAGATTGGCAAGCAACAGAGAGAAGAGGCCAGCAGAGGGAGATCTCAAGAGATGAGCGGGTGTCTACGGACAAATTGTACTGAAACAGCTTAAAACCTGGTAATCAACATTAGCTATCTGTCAACAACTAGAAAATGTGTTTACAGTTAAAATAGAGTATCCCTTATCAGTATTGAGACACCCAGAATTTCTCAAAGTCAGGTTTATTTAGCACTTAAATGCACTTCATTGGCAGAGTTTATTAAAAGCACAGATTTCCTGGGTCCCAGCCTTCATTTATTAAGTCGAAAACCCTAGAAGGCCCAAGAATCTGCATTTCAGTAAGCTTCTTTTTTGTGATTATTCTGCATACTAAGTTTTGAGACTCACTGAGGAGTTCACACAAGATGCAAGAAGAATGGAGAAAATCTCAGATTTATTGAACACCTACTATGTCCCGGGCAATTGATTAGTCACTGTCACCTACTTTATCTCATCGCATTTTCCCAGCAACCCTCCAAACTGGGTACTAGTGTGGCTATTTCTCAGGCAAGGAAGTTAACTTTCTGCAAGCTTCAACGACATCCCCAAAGTCACGCGGCCAAGTGGATGACTGGATTTGAGCCCACGTCTCTCTGACTCCATAGACCATTGTCTCTCTCATCACGGGGACACATGTGTCTTTCCTATGGAATCCACAGAGCAAGCCTGGAGGGGGACCTGAGTGACCACCTCCTTGGGCACTGTTTAGTCCTTTCTTTTTTTTATTGCTTTCAGAGTAGAATCTGAGGGGCTCCTGGGTGGCTCAGCCGGTTAAGTGTCCAACTCTTAATTTCAGCTCAGGTCATGATCTCAAGGTCATGGGATTCAGCCCCTGTTGGGCTCCAGGCTCAGCAGCGAGTTGCTTGAGATTCTCTCCCTCTCCCTCTGCCCCTTGCTCTCCCACACTCACTCTCTCTCTCTCTCTAAAAAAAAAAATAAAAAAAAGAGTAGAATCTGAGACTCCATTAAAGCACTTGTCCCCATTACAGGCATGAACGTTTTAAATTGTTCTTCTTTGTAAAGAGAGTCACTAAAGAACCTGAACAAACAATTGTTAAAAGGACAGAAGCTTGGTTTCAAAATCGTTCCCAACGCAGAGCAGTCAGCTCCGGGGATGAGCTAGGGACTCAGTCCTCAGTCAGACAGCATCTCAGACCTGGGTTCTCCATCCCACAGTTCAGAACAGACAACTGCCCACTAAAAACCCATATTTGTGCTCTCCAATATTTCCTTACTCAAAACCAGTGACTGTTTGTGTTTCTCTCTCCAGCAACTCTGGGAGTAAAAAAAAAAAGATGCACACATACCTGCAAAGCTCTCCTAAACCATTAAGACAGAGGGAGGAAATAGAGGCACCAGAGGGCAGGCCTCACTCCCAGGGGCCCCGAGTCCCTGAGCACCGTGGGCTCACCTCCCGAGGTTCTCCGCATCCTCGATGGTCTCTGGCAAGGTGACCCCTTCAGTCTCGGGAAGAAGCAGCGTCATTCCCCCGGCAACCAGGCCCAACACCGCTTCAAAGGAAACAGTTCACACAGAACCGTTAGCTCACAACCAACGGCATTCCGCAGGATGCCGGCCGCTACCTAAAGGGCTGCTAGGTAATACACCTGTGAGAGACTCTGGTTTTTTGGAAACCAGGAGCATCTAGGGCAAAAATTAAAGCAATAAGATAACTGGGGAAATATCAGAGTAAGAATAGGGAAATTCTACCGTAACTGATGTTTAAGTATTAGGGGATTTATTTATTATTATATGTCATATATATCATATATACCGTAGTTACCATATATAAAACTATACATATTAGATAATTATATTATAATGTATTATTTTATATATTATGTTATACTTACTATAAACTATAATATATACTACAGTCACTATATGTTAATATTATATTACTATAGATACAATATGAAGCATAGATAATATATATGTGGGCAGTGTGGGCCTCTCTTGTTTCTCTCTCTCCTTCCCTCCTCCCCTCTCCTTATTTCTCTCCCCCTCCCACTCCTTGGTGGATCTACCTGGAGCCCAGACATGGCCGCTCTCTGCACTCAGACAGCCATTTTGCCTTCCGCAAAGTGGGTAAGCAGGGTCTTGGAGGTCGCAAGGTCTCAGTTTGGGGAGACAAGGAAGAGTCTCCTCCTCCTTCTCTAATCCAACTTTATCACTACAAAGCTGATACCAAACTTTGATTCCCATTTGTCTCCTTGTGTCTATTCTCAATTGTTAAGCAGAAGAAGGATGATAATTTAGCATCTTCAAGCCTCCAGCAATTATATGTTAAATGCACAAAAATTGGAGTCAAATTCATAAGAAAGCAGGAGGCTATGTCAAAATGTCTCCCAAATTCTGTCCCGTAGGATGAGTTATTGGCCTCTAGAGCCTTCGGATGTAAACGTCTGGCCTGCTTTCTAGGAATGGCATCTTATCTTTCCCATGAAACAAGACAGAGTAAGCCAGGAGACAATGGAAGGGCAGGCACCATCCTTCTTCACCGGAGGATATCATTCACTGGTCAAAGTAATCACGCTGGGCTGGAATATCCCACGAAGTCTTACCAAACAAAATGAGTGGCAAGCCTTGCCAGACCTCCATCAGCCTGAAGACCAGGAAGGGGGTGATGATTCCACCCAGATCACACAGGGAGGAACACACCATCACTCCAAGGTTCCTGATAAATATATAGAGAACAAAAAAGATGATATCTCTGTGATTCAGCTTTCCAAATGTTAACCTTATCCTAGAACAAGAACAGAGAGAGGAGAGAAGCTGGAGATAGAGTTAATCACCAATGACCAGGGATTTTTAATCAATCATGTCTACATAACAGAGAGTCCATAAAAACCCCAAATTAAAGGTTCAGAGAGCTTCCGGGTTGGTGAACATACCCATGTGCAGGGAGGGTGCCCCACCCCAAATCCATGGGGACAAAAGCTCCCATGCTCGGGACCTTTCCAAACCTCACCTTAAGTACCTCTGCATCTGGCTGTTCATTTATATCTTTTATTATGTCCTTTATGATAATAAACCAGTAAAGGTAAGTGTTTCTCTGAGTTCTGTGAAACATGATAGCAAATTACTGAACTCGAGGAGGGGGGGATGGGAATCCTGATGTATAGCCAGTGGGTCAGAAGTAAAGGTGACAGCTTGGGGCTTGTGCCTGGAATCAGAGATGGGGGCAGTCTTGTGGGACTGAGCCCTTAACCTGTGGGGTCTGCTCTAAACCCAGACGGTTAACATCAGAACTGAATAGGATACCCAGGTGATGTCTGGAGAGTTGGAGAATTGGTTGGTGTGAGTAGAGTTCCTTTTTTTTTTTTTACATGAAGAGATAGGGAAGTGTAGAGAGAAGGTATTAAGGAATGGAGAACAAAGAAAGCTAGAGGGGGAAATAGAGAAATGATCTACCTGAAAGGATCCTCTCCATCCCTGGTAATAGTCTTTGCTCTGACATCCACTCTGACTTATATGAAGATGGCCACTTTTGATTAGTGTTTGCATGGAATATCTTTTTCCATCCTTTTACTCTTAAACTACCTCCACCATTATATTTAGAGTGAGTTTCTTGTAAGCAGTATACAGTTGGGTCTCACTTTTTTGTCCTATCTGACAATCTGCCTTTTAACTGGGGTGTTTAGAACATTCGTATTTCTTGTGACTATTGATAAATTTTCATTGTTCAGTGCTGCATATTTTTGTATTCCTATAAATAATCTTGAGCTTTGTTTTAAAAACATGGTTAAATTAGGAACAATAAATTGGGAAAAACTTTATTCTTTAGGATATTA